TTTCCGGCTTTGTTGCCAAGCATCTGGACCACGTGCAGCTGCCTCACACTTAGCTGAATCCACTGGCTTCTCGTCCCGTTTCACATCCTGAGCAAGGCCACACAGTGAGAACGAGATAGAACGAGCATGTTATAAAAGCTGCCACAGTTTTAAAATAATCTCTGGGTGCCTTTGGTTCACAGCCCACCCCAAAATATTTATTTATTGCAACGATATGATATATATACTTATATATACAGTACATAAAGAAAACCTCATCTCTGCGCAAGCCCCACAATATCCCATAATCGTCCAACAACAAGAAAAATCTATAGTATCTAGAGTACACTATCCACTTCAAATTAATTTCCCTATGTCTTGCTTTGTCGCCAAGCATCTGCTCCCTTCGCAGCCGCTCCACATTCCACTGTGGAGATGGCTGAATTCAATGGCATCTCTTCCTGAGCCATGTTTTTGTTGACGCTATCCATGTATGTATGATTAGGTATGTCATATTTCACTGTCTATCTCAATATATTTAAATATTTCTAAAGTAACATAAATATATATATATACATATCTAAAATTATGTAAATATATATATAAATTGAAAGACACTGCTTAGGCTATCTTGCTCTTGTGTCTCTGTTTTTTATCTCCAGGTGCTGGTGGTACATAAACCACCCCAAATACAAATTTGTGGGAAGGTGCATAGTTAGCTAAAGTTATCTACAGTCCAAACATGTCCAAACAAATGGTAAATTAAATTGCAGTGGCCAGTGCGCATCACCCACCCCAAATTAGTTTTCCAAACCTATGTTTCCCTGTCCCCTTGCCAAGCATCTTGAACACGAGCCAAAACATCAAAAGGATCTTCTGCAGAGCTCGCTGGCTGTTTTTCCTGGGCAACGGTGCCATGTGCTTCAGGACGATCAAGTTGCTTTGCTTGTGTTCTTCTTTTGCTAGTCTCGGAGAAAGAGGACACATGAGGAATCATGAGGACACAAATCAAGAAAGGTTTCCCTACGTTGCCGGAAACATCCCGAAAAATAAGTCAACTCCAGTATACTCCTATCTTAGTTGATGCATGTTGAGCCTGTTTTCCACATGATCCCAGCAAAGGGATGGGTGACTGGATACTGGATGCATCTGGACGCTGACGATTGCAGCCATCAGACGTCAGCCATCAGCTCACGACATTCTGAAACATTCTGAAACCATCATAAGTTCAGTGTTCAGTGTGATGAAAATACTTAAAGCGATGGTCAATGGACCACAATACCCACCATTGTGCGCATGACATGTGTTCACATGCCGGCTGCCTTTCGGGCTTCAAGCCACTGTTTGTACACAGCAACGCAAAAGGAGGATGGATATTCTGACGTATTTGGCAGGCTTGAGCCGCCTGTGAACGTCTTCTGGCCTGTTTTCACTGACCATCCAATCGTGTAATAAACTGGAATGGGCTTGCCTTGAGCCCTCAATCTGTCGTACTTAGCTTGGATCCTTTTGTTGAACTTCTCCTTCACCGGCTTGGTCGCTCTTCGTGCAACGCCTGTCAGGTTCCTGAGAGGCTCAATACCCTTTCCATTCCTTTCCCAACCGTAAGCCAAACATAGCCAAACATAGCAACACCAAATTCCATTACTAATGATTCAACAATCATCACATTTCATCACCCCCAACATAGAAAAGGAACATTGTCTTGGGCAAGAATCTTCCAGTTTGTATACAGGCATGTGGCTTTCAAAATGTCCATGCCAAACAGACCAAGGTAAGTTAAAATACAAGAAAATCCCCACTGTTTGATCAAAGCGATCAAGGATGGCATCTTGAATAGCCGGCTTCCCTTGGGCTGTTCGATGGTGACGAAGGTAGTGGGCCGGTGCCGTAGCACAAGCTGGATGAGGGCAGCTGTGTTCTCTGCGATCAAGTTCGCCATTCGCACTGAAAGTAGGGCAATGTTGCCATTGGGCATCCAGTCCTTCTTTACTTATATAAATTTGTGAAAAAAATCACCAACATTCACCTGGGAGGGGGGCATCACAATAAATTGAACATATCTGACATATCTAAAGTCTTCTAAAGAATTCAAAGTTAAAGATTTCCACAGTGACACGTCTAAAATCGTCTAAATCTCTTCAAGCTTCATAGCGCTGGTGCACCGATTGTGAAATGGAGATGAACAAAGAACACGGCACAGCAGCCCACAACAATGCGAACTCTGACAGCCTGAAGAACGAGCAAAGTAAACAAACGAAAAAACACCGTATAGATCGGCAAAGTGAAAGCTCCCCGAGAAACGAAACACATAAACAGAGAAACCAACAAGCCCCCCTGTGCGGTTACAACAAGCCATGAAGCCTCATTGCTGTATGTAAAGCATCAATAAAACCGTCTCGTGATAGGATATCTTGAGACTCTTGTGATGCAATGTCGTATGCAACAGCCACCCAACCATTCCTGCGGAAAGCCCTTGACAGCGCACCAGTCCGGCTGTACAAGTCGAAGCAATGTACATCTCGACATCCTTGCCATTGTTCACCTTTGATTGACCCAACTGGGGTTCCAGCTCATACTGTTCTTTTTGAACCAAGCAGAACAAGGCAATGCAAAACACATACAGTATCATACAGTAATTGCACAAACACACGCGAAAAAATGAATGGATTAAGTTGAAGCTCAGAAAGAGTTCAGCTCGCCCATGTGGCTTGCAGCGTGGAACCACGCACTCTCTGGGGTCACTGTAGACGTGTCATCACCCTGGCCAGCACCCCAGCTGGCCAGGGGAAGGCAAAGCATCATGCGCCACCAAGCCATCATGCTTCAAAGATCTTCAAAGCGCGTACAGGCCCACACTGCTTCTAGCCACAATGCTATGTCCAAATATTTTCAACCCGGCACGCTTGCAAGATCCCTGACGCAAGATTGTTTATATATGTGTGTTTGGTCTTTGTTGCCCTCTACAATTAAATAAATGAGAGTGCTGTTGGTACCCAGCCCACCTGAATTAGTTTTAATATGTCAGACATGGTTACAAAAATACCTGAACTCAAAGTCCACAATTGTATTGACTCTACATAAAAAAAAATGTAAGGCCCAGTGTACTCTACCAACCCCAAATTAATATTCTGACCAACTTGGTCCATATGGTCCTAGTGACTCTATATACATTTTTAAAAAAATGTAAGGCCCAGTGTACTCTACCAACCCCGAATTAATATTCTGACCAACTTGGTCCATATGGTCCTGTTGTGGATGATCTCTGACCATCTTTGATCGCCGTGATCACCCCTAATCCCTAATCCCATCTGAGGCCCCTGTGTCCAAGCATCCACCGCAGGCACAGGTTCAGATTTCCCCGGATCATGTGCCTCAGATAATCTCAGATGGGCATCCATTTTCCGGTTAATTTTTCTTTGTAGGATGTTGCATTTGACAAGTGGGAAACTGACTACATAAAGTCCAGGATAGTCAAGGTGCATTTGGGTCAGCAGCCTCTACCTTCATCCTCTTTGCCGGCTCTGCAGCTTTCACTTGGCTCTCCTCGGTGTAAGCAAAGTCGGGGAAGCAAAGTCCGGGGGCAGGTTTTTGGGACATGTTAATGGTTTTTCATCTCATTAGAGCACCCACTTGCTTTTGTTTTGCGATGACAAGATATGACAAGCCCAGAAGCACTCAGCGACTTCATCGTCTTCGACAGGCATGTGGAGGTCAACCATCCATACGTTTGCCTCACTCCGTCTCTCTCCAAAACATTCCAAAACATCATAAAACATCTACCAAAAAATTCATGCAATTCCACAGAGACAACACAACAACGAAAAGAAGCAATCATTTTCAGTAAAGTTTCTTGATCGCAATGTGGTGCGACGCACGTTTGTGACCTTCCTGGGTGACAGTGTCATTGTCCTGGGCTGATCTTTGGTTGGCACAGATTGGGGATGGTTGGTGCTCGTGCTGTAAAAGTACAAAAAATAGTGTCGCCCGCCAATTAATCAGTTCAATCACTGCGGACCATGCTTCACATTTGCAAATCCAAACATGGTACTTCTCGTTCCACTCAGCGGGCCGCAGTTTGCCAGGACCTGAACATGAGCATCAATATGTTGAAATCTTGCAGTGTTAAAAAGTCTTTACCAAAAAAGCTGAACATTTGTGAAGCTTTTGCCGTCTGAAAAGATCTGAAAAGTTTTACATGCTTGAAAGTCTTTGACATTTTCTTCTCCCGAAACTCCACTTGAACGATCTTGAATCCAAGTCACATCCACTCACTTGGCAAAACTCCGGCGGACATGGTTCTTTGGCTGTGTTTTCTTCAGCCATGTTTGCATATGTTCGCTCTTGATCTGCTGGCTGCGGAGAAATGTGAAGCTGACTGCGGAGCGGACAACTGTCAATTCACGTCATGTTTTTTGTCTGACATCCTCCAATTCTTCTAAGTTGATTGTGTTTTTCCAAATTAATTGAAGGTGTGTTCTCTTCTCCACCCCCACTGTATTAGGAAATTATTTTGGGGTGGTTTATGTAGCATACCCTCCCCGACACCAAGTAATTAATCCAGGTGGTGTGAGTAAAAGCTTAAAAAATAATTGGGACCCACCTTATACATGCCTGCCAATTAATTTCTGGATAATATTAATTCACAAAAATTATTTCATAGAGTGTCCCCACCTATCAATTAATTTCCTAAGGGACCACGCATGCAGCAAGAGTCAAGAGACACATGTATTGAGTATTGGTGGATAAGGGTGTGGTGGGAAACATCAGGAAAACCGAAAGGATTGGCTAAAGGTTCTCAAAGCGAATGTCTGTCCCAAAGGGACGAGGTTCCACACGTGATCAAAGGTACTCCGCCATTTCTGTTTGCAAGTTTGGATTGAATGCCAGCTCCGGGGATTTGGGATGCCAGCTCGTGCAACTGGTGCACCAAAGTCTCAGAACACCGAAAGATCCAAAGAAACTCTCCGATGAGTCCTGCATGCAGTTTCTCCACGGAGTTTCTCCACCCAGAGGCCCACCTTCCCGTAGCAAAGCTGCAGCTGTGTAGCCATTGGAAGCAAGGAAGGGAATCGGTTCAAGCGTGCAAAACGTCAAAATGCAGGGTAAACGGCAAAAGGTTTGAGCTGTACTGTACTGGTTGGCTACAGTATCATGCTAGCGGCGGCAACAGCTGGCTAGCATGTGCGATTTCTATCCATGGTCCATAGCCAACGATAAACTGATGCTGATGATAATGTTTCCAGCACATGTTGGGATCAAGATTCCGCATCTGAGATCCAGAAGCTCTTTCGTGGGGTCGCAGATCTCGTCCCAGGTGAACAGACGTTCACCCAAAGATTGGGTGCCAAGCAAGTCACCTCCAAGCTGCTAAAAGTTGCAGCAAAAAGCCCTGGATGGAAGGGCTGCCAATCTGAAACAGAACATTACTGATGAGTATGCGCGTCGAGGTTTGGGAAACTTGTACTGTACCTGATTTGTTACATATGTTTACGCTACCTGAAGTTGACAGCTTCATCAGCTCCATATGCTCAAGGACTGAATGACTGGCACCTCAGCTGTCGCAAGAGGATTGTCATTGCAGGTCAACCAGGCCACCTGCTTTCGCAGCGGTGGCTGTGTCAATCAGCCTCCTCCCCAAGCCCCGGTTGCATCGATCTGATCACATCTGAGATATGCATGAGCAGGAGAATTGCCCCCCCCAACATGCCAGCAAAAGCCACGTAGTGCACGTGCAACACCAAATCCAGCGGTCAGGCTGGTGACTTTGCAGCCATTCCAGGGCTTCTGACTTTCGACTCCCCATTGCACCTGCTTGATCCCTTCCCGCGGCTTGCTGTTGACATCCTGGACATACCTGAAGGGGCTAACGCTCCACGAAACTGGAGCATTGGTCCATTTCTGCTCGAAATCAAAGGAATCGGCCGGATGTTTTCCTAGTGAAAATGCACACCCATCTCAAACAGCTGTGACTATGATTCGGCACTTCAACTGCTTGTCACTGACCTCCTATCTAGGATCTTGTTCACTTCTCCACAAGGTTGGCTCTGAGCACTCTTTTTCAGCGCCAACGTCGAGCGGATCACGGGCCCTTTCTCCCTTTGCGCTGTTCGTGATAATTACTACACATTCACCGGTAACTTTAACTGTCAGTGTAACATTATGTAACTATACCTTGTAACTGCAACTATAACTATCGAAGCCTTGCCCATCTTTGCAAAGCGGCGCTGGGGTTCCTTCCCCAGCGAACGTGAGATCCCTAACTCGGATCAGCCTCAAGGGGTAGCGCCAAAAGGCCCGGCTCTTCTCCCAACTGACCTGACACCAAGCAAAGGAAATCCCACCACAGCCGACCACGTGAGAATCTCAGTGCCACAGTGGGTTGGTTTGTTCGTTTGATTGTTTGGTGTGTATTTACATGTACAATCATGTGTGTATGTATATATTTATACCTGTGTGTGTGAGTCGTTGAGTCCTTTGAGGGTCTCTTGTATACAAGCAGGCGTCATGAAGGGGAAAAGCCTGGAAATTTGAGTGTCCCTGGGAATTCACAAAGGTCAAGCAAGGTTGTCAACCACCAAGTCTTTTCTCTGTCCCTCACAGGCACATTGCATGCCACTGGTCGCCAACCTGTGCCCCTGCATTGGTGAGCCCCCCTCACTGAAGGCTGTCGCTTACAGGCGTCATATGAAGCGCTTGTATGCCTTGTATGTTGCGTCAGATGCACATCCGGGCAACGGCAAAGGAGTTGAATTGTTGCTTCATATCGGAGTATACGGTCGACTGCCTCGACGCATATGCAGCTTTTTGGGAAACGGCCGCATAGAAAAAACATGTGATGAATGGAATGATGCTACTTGTCACAGCGAGATCGCCGGTCCCAAAGGCTGGATTTGGGCCGCCCACATCATGCAGGCACAGGAGGCAAAAGAAAGGTGCTGTACAACATGCAATAGCCATGCCTTTGTCTAGGCTCAGGGGAATTGGTGCACGGAGCCCAATCCGAATGCGGGCTCTTCACACAGTAGCCCACCGCGATTCGAATTGGATGCATCCGCTAACACACGTAGGCAGCATCAATGCAGCTTAAAAGCACATCCAAAACAGACTCTACGTGGACATCCTGCGTTTGAGAAATCTACCGGCCACTCAACAAACGAGAGACTACAGGCAAGTCAAACTTTTCAGCATTCATGCAGCCACTTGCTGTGATGGAACCAGCTCTGTTGTGTGCTTCAAAAATTCAAGGGGTATTGTTGTTGAATGTATGAGCTTGGAGGAATTGATGCTGCCACATCCGCGTCTTTGATGGCAGTCACACAAGCCGAAACCAGAATGATGAAACACATCCAACCTCAGAAGCACATTCTCGAAGAGAAGAATCATGGTGGCTAATTACCTGCGCAAATATCGCCAAATATACACCATCAGTGCCTTTGAATGGCCAATGTGTGGAAAGTTACAAGTGAATCACGACCAGTCACCTTCAAAATGTAAATTTCTCCGGAGGTTGTTTCTTGTCCCAAAGCTAAGCTATCAGTCTGTTTTCACTGCCGCACTCAACAGCACTTGAGGCTAAGGCAACTACGCTCACTTCTTTGGATCCTTCACTTGCAAGGTCTTGTGGCAACCTGGAACATCGGCATGGTGAAACACAGCGAATGACAGACATCCCATCGAATGAGATGTCTGGCGAGCTCGCATCAATGATGACAGAGCGAACAGCCGAAATAAGCTTGACATCCGTGGAGCTCTTCAGCTGAGCCTGCTCGAAATCCTGTGACTGTCTCCCCTGCGACCTGCCCCATGTCTCCCCTCTCCGTGCCCACTCCTGTCCGAACGGGAAACTCATGGTGCCAAGTCCGAACGAAACGGTTGTGCAAAATAGTCACCCAAGGAATAAAATATGATTCTGCCTACATCCACGAACAATGGATCTGTCAAAAGAGGATCCGAGTCCTGCCTACATCTGCACAAATGCCATCATGATCGTAGTGCCAGGCCATATCCGCGTCCGCACGGTGCTTGCTCACGAAGGGGTTGGGATCCTCTCAAGCTGAGGGTCCAAGGACAAAAAGGTCGGAGCAAGTCGGTATCAAATGTGATTGCAGGGTGGCTAAAAATGTGGGCCAGCAAAAACACGGAAGGGACGTTTGGTTGTACGGCACCTTAATCTAACCTACTAAATTGTTGCAAAATATGTTGAGTGAAGCAAACCTAGTCACACCAAGGGCTGGACCTGCATGCCGAATGATAAATCAGGGTGGAAGATCTCATGATACGTTGACATCAGGAATGTATATCACCAAAAGCAAGAGTTTTTCTGGTGTAGTAATGAAAGAAAATGAAAGAAAACAACCAAAGAGGCTTAGCAAATACTAAATATGTTCTGATTTATTCCCCACACCTCCCACTAGGAGGTGTGGTTTCCGGTCCGAAAATCACTGCAGCTTAGCACGACGAACCGCCTCGGAGGTGGTGCTTTTTGCGTGGACACTAAAGAGGCTCCATTCTGAGCGCCCTGCATCAGTGTTCATGGTGGCAAAGGTGTGGTTCACGTCACGATGGTTGCCTAGGTAAAAAAGGTCCCGGCAGGCTGAACCTTTGAAGAAAGATGAAGAAAGCTTTGATGGCAGGCTGGTGTCCATACCAAATGCCAGGGATGTGATGTTCGAAAAATCACCAACGTCACTGCGCTATTCTCAGGCAGATCGCATCTGCTCTTATGACAAACTTCAAATCCCTTGGAGTCACTTCGATCGAGCAACAAAATCACGATGTCACAGGGCGATCCAGTGCAACAAAATTGCACACATGGCTTCCATCTGTTGGACAGCTCTCCGTGAGTCCGCGAGTTGCTCATTCTACACATCACAAAAGAATTTGTAGGCTCTCTGGCTCAATGTTAAACGCCTAGCGGCGATGAATACAAATCAGGAAAACAATACTGTACATGGAAAATGCAAGGATCCCGATCCCTCTTGCATGAAACGCGAAGCCCGGAAAGAAGCTGCATGCATAATATAATACGAAGTCCATGTACTGTTTCGTTCTCCTTCCTTCGCCGGGGCCCGTGGTTCCGCCCCGTGGTTCCGCCGCTTCGGCGCTCTCATCGGCGAACATGCACTTGAGAGCATCGATCCACATGGCCTCCTGAGACGGAGCTCATATTGGGCGAGCAGTCTTGGCGGATGCAAACATGACACGTTAGACAAAGTGAGCTTTGTCTAAGATGTTAGCTCATGTTAGCTCATGTGAACATCATTGTTAGACAAATGATTCTGATTCACAAGGTTAGCTCATGTCTTCTTTGATTCACCCTTCCTCTCAGCTCAGTAGATCTCAGTGGTGTCCGACTCTTCCAAAACCGTACCCGGACGTACGCAGCTCCTCTGAGAGCTTCCAGTAGGCAATGGCTAGGCCGGGAGCTCGAAGTTGTGACCAAGCGTCATGGAGTGGAGTGCCTGGCATGTCGAATATGTCGATGGATGGACAGATGAAGACCCCAAGCAAATCAGCTGACAACCAGCAAACTGAACCCCGAACTCGGGCCATCAAACTCATCAAACTCATCAAACTCATCTGTCCAGTTTTCGCGTCCAGTTTGGAAGGGGTCAGATCTTGGTCCACCTGGAGTCTCAACCTGGTGGATGATGTTGGCATAGGTCAGGCAAGCGGTCTCTTCCTCGGTTTCAGCTGGAAGCCAATCAGAGAAGCCCAAAATGAATGCAGCTATAGTTATAAAAATCTTTCATATTCCTTGATTAAATCCTTGACTTGTTTTAATTGTGAAAACAGGCTCTCCAATGAAAGATTTTATAAAGCTATAGTTCATGCTGTTGATGTCTTTTTGGAATTCGGGTTGGATCCCCTCCATCCATCACCAAGCGGCAAGGTAGCCAACAAAGCGATGGACAGCACCTGTCAGGTCGGATTTGGGAAACAAAGGTCAGGCACATGTCTGAGTGAGAAGGATCGTCTATCTCCAGCTCTATAAATCCACAAACCAGCTACCAAAAATTGGGAGTTCCATAGATTTCCAACACCAAGACCATCCAGTCCCGTGCGGACCACGACGCCTTCACTCGTGTCGTCAGACCGTTCGGGGACTGTCCGCCTGGATTCACCACATAAACCGCTGCCAGGAATGGCGTCATGAAGACTTGTGCCGCCATGACCTGGATGGGAACGGGAACGGCGCCCATGCGCTGCAAGGAGAAGACAATGGGTCAAGAGGTATAGAAAAGCAAACAAACTGACCGGTAGAGCTGGTTGGGTGGGAGGGGCTCAATCGGATCAAAAAATATATCTTGCAAAAGACCCGACATACCAATCTGGGTACCACCTGGAGGCCTACCGACATCCCTGCAAAACAGATTCTTCTGAGAGCTCCCACCAAGCAACGTGTAACAAAGCCAGCCTGGCAGCGAGGCTCTCAAAAGACCACTTTTGCATGGTAAATCTCCACTGAAGAGACCGGCAAAGGACTCGAGGATATATAGATTCTTCGCAGATACACCCTCGAGTCTAAGCCAACTTCATTGTTGTTGAGCTTCATGACTTGATATATTCTTGACTTGATATGCTTCATCTTCTTGCTCTCGGCAAGATCATCACAAGCACGCCTTCTGATCCTTCTTCAGCTCTGTTTCGCTTTGTGGGGCCAATCCTCATCCTTCAACCCTCTGGTGGTCCAAGAGCCTAAGACCTCCGTAACCAAAAAATGAAGAAGAAAAACATGAATGCAGTCCTGTATGGTCCCTGCCTTGAACATCTTCATGCAAACAAGCAAGTGCATCCGCTCATTCTCAGCCTCCTCTAACCTGTAGAGAAAAATATATCACAACCATTTCAACCATGTCTGATGAATGAGATACGGCTGACAACCCAGAGCAACACGAAGAACACATCAGAGGCGCTGCAGCACAACCAGCAGGAATGACCACTATCGGATCCGCACTCAAGCAGTCACAAATCCAAAAAACCGCAGAAATGACGAATAAGTTCTCAAACAGCCGCCGCATTTGGCAAAAAGCTGCCTGGCCAAACTACTCTTGTCCTCCAATGCTTCTAAACCCCTGGTGTCCATAGCTTGGGCAAATGGCAAAGTGTGGATCCATCCATGGTCGCGCTTCAAAGTGCGAAGGCAGCGGAAGTGCCTGCGGAAGTGCAGCACAGCGTTAGTGATTTTTTCCTAGAAAAGCGAGCCGCAGCCCGTTTGTGATCACGAAAGATTGAACCCCCCCAGCCCAACACCCCCTAGCCTTCCACTCTGCGTATTCCACACCTATCGTTCTTTCTTAAAGAAATGCTCTTACCAGCGTGCCCAAAACCTACTGTACACTGCATCAGGGTGGGTCACCGCACAGCAACATAACGCAACGCAACGTCTGCTATCCCCATGAACCGGGCACCGGAAATTCGCCTAAACATCGCCGCCATAAAGCCGGGGACGCCCGCAAAGCTCTCGAGGACAATCAAGCGCCACTCAACTGCCTTGACCTCAGCGCCCAGTCATTGAGCTCATCACGTCGAGACGTGCTTGCCTTTGTGAGACCCGGCGGGGGAAGACATGCAAGTTGTTCACACCTGCATACTATATCAAATGCACAAATGAGAAGTTCGTGTGAAGTAGTTTCAAAGGTTCCGAACCAAATTTAGTTCGTCTCACATGAGCGAAGGGCCGCTATCCAGGCAGTTGCGTCGGTTGTTCACAGCCAGGAAGGTGTCATTTCGAGCTGATGGATCCAAGTTCCAATCAACCCCCCTTTGTGGGGGCTCCACAAAGCCACAATTTCTTTAAAAAATAAATATCGTGGTTTTGGTGCTCCTACATGCCTCCGAGACTGACATCCCCATGGAACTGCAGCGGGTTGATGTGGCAATTACACTGACGTTGTGAAATGGGTGCCCACAGGTGCCCCATGGTGGTCAAAATCGGATGAAATTGGTGCGTTTCGCAGAAAGGGAAAAAGTAATACTGGTCGTGGTTTTGAAGTCTAAGAGGTGAACAAGAGGTCTTTTTTCAGCTATTGCAGTCTAAGACTCTGAGAACTTTACTCGCTAGATCGGCCCAAGGCGCTGGAGTGTTCTCCGGCTTAAATCCTGGCAGAATTTGACGGCTCCAATGTGTGCTACGTGAACTGCACTTGTGGGAGAGCAACTGCTTGGGCTTGGGACATATTTGTCCCACCCTTGGTACTGGGGGTCTTACCAAGCGATGAATATGCTTCAGTGAGCGCGGCCTGTCACCCAGTTGAAGCTCCTGTAGAGGCTCCACATAATTCCTCAACCATCATGGCAAATCATCATTTGGCTCCAAACCAGTTGCCGCGACAGGAACAAACCGCAGAACATAAAAATCACATATGTAAAGATGAGACAAGATGCGGTGCATGATTTTGTCCGACAAAGTCTTTGGTCGGTGCTGGTACAGATTCTCCAAGCGCTCTTGGATCTCTTGCTCGCTCCAAATGTGATTGAGGGTCACGGATAACCTCAAAGACACAAGCTGGCATCAAAACGACCTGCGTAAAGCCAAAAAGAGACTTCAACACCAGAAAGGTACAAGTCTGCACGTTTCTCAGCCTGAAACTGGTGCCTGGTCATCCAACAGTCGAGATGCGGGACCGGATCAATCACCCTGTGTATGTATGTGAGTCTGGTCACTGCAATCTTGGCTCACGGGCTCACGGATTGCAGTATCAACAACCAATCAGATCAATATCTGAGCTTGCACGGAGAAACCGCCCAATTTGCGGTTGAACCGAGTGGCTCAGCATTGGCCTGATGTGGCTTGGCCAGTGGAGGATCCTTCTTGGACTCCCGAAAGTGAGGTTCGGAAATGCGCAAACTGGGCCGTTGCGCAAACGGTCGAGACGGAGAGAAACGTGGAGATTCTCTTTGATGACATAAACATTGAGGGACCAAAACATTCAGTTGGTGGACATAAATAAAGGTGGTGGAAATACATTGAAAATCCATGAAATGCTTCTCTCTCCTGGGTTGAGTGGCAATGAGCCAGTTCCGGGCCTGCTAGCACTTGGTTTTCATGGTGGTCGGCTTTCGCACCAATGTACAGTAGTCCAATGTAACAGTCCGAAGCTCCCCAGAACCGATGAAAGCAGAGGTGGCACCCCCTCAGCTACTCCACGGGTGCGTGGTTCCTCCAAGCTACTCCTCTGAGTCCTTCTCGGTCGCAAAGCAGCGCGAAGAATGGAAACCCCACGGATGAGCACCACTAGTGCTACTCAGGTCCTGAAAGTCAGGAGAAGAGTGCGTGGTCTCACATTGAAGCTACTGAATGTCCACCAAGAGTCAAGAAAAATTGTACAGCATATAGAAATATAGCCAATTACGTACACAATCATGCACAAATAGGACAAAAGTTGGTAACAAGCCTGTGAAGACATCACCTCAACCAGTTCTCCATAGAATCCTACAGAGGATGACAGTGGAATTCCTGCAGAGGAGTTTCCACCTGAAGTGACAGAAAACGTGTTTCCTGTTCTTCTGCTCCTTGGATCATATTAGATTCCAGTCACGAAGAATGACCAAACAAATCGCACTCTGCAGTTTCCAGCCGTTTCCAGCCTGGCATTTGGTTGCAAGCCTGACTGAGGTGGGTTTGACCAAATGAAAGCCCGTCAACTGAATGGTTTTTTGCCGAACTGCAGCTGTCATTGTCATGTCCTTCTGCCTTTGTTTCCATCACTCGTTCGCCACCAGCGGTGCCGCGTTCGCAGTGCCTCCAGTGCCTCCAAACTGGCACAGCCCCAGGCCTCACAGTCCTGCCGGGGATCCCGCCCAACGAGTTTTTTGGAGCCCAACAACCTCACACATGTCATGAAAATCGGACATCATCCAGCCACAAGAACCCGGAACCTACTTGGGCGCCCCTGTTTCGTGGCACGAACCACGCAGTCTCCCGTTTGGTCTCCCGTTTGAACGCGCAAAGGGCGCCAAAAGGGCGCACCGGTTCAAGATGCCAAGGGCACTATGATTTGATACGTTATTGCAATAGCGCGACGCGTTCAAGTCTGGGTGAAAAATAAGCCACGTTCAGTAAAACGGCCTTAAAGTCAACCGCCGCAAAGCTGGAGCTGCCCGCAACGCCATGGTTGCCATGGCCTGAGAGTTGCTACTCGACCGAAATATCGAGTTTGGTTCGAAAACATTGAATATCGACTTCACATTGGACAACATTACATATTGCAAATTCCACTTGAGGTAATGGAGGCCCAGGTGGGCCTGGTTCCACCAACCAGCGTTGGTTCGCTGGCAATTGTCCAGCTGGGGATCCCCACATTATCATTTGAAAAACATCGCTGTGGCAAGTCCAAACAAACCAGAAAATCGGTTCCATGAAGGCACTGACTGACAGTCGGACTGACTGTCCTTCACCACTCCTCCTCATCTTCAAGTCTAGGCCACCAAACAAAAAGAGAACGTGGCGACACCCGGAAACATCCCAAGCCGGGCAACCCATGAGGATGTTGGAGGTTTCTTGGAGACGGTCCCCACAGTTAGACGAAGGCCACCTCACATACCCGCCTCTAGCTGGCGCAATTCACTCTTTAGGCCCCTACAACTTGCGGCCAAGCGCGGCTGCGGCCAAGACATGAGTCATGAGTCTCATCTGAACCTGTTTTGTGGGCCTTAACGGGAAAGAATGGAGATAGTCACTCTGAAGGATATATTATATAGTGGAAAAAAGCGCTTCCATGTACTTCCAACATCTTATCAAGAGTTGGCCTGCCAAGGCTTCTTCAGCTCACGGACATTGTTCTCGGCATCTGTCACCTTCAAGACAAGGGCTTGTCATACTGCAAACACTTGGAGTGGTGCAACCGCCCAATCGTGGGAGACTACATCCGGCCTCTTGTACCAAGAATTGAGCGCTCTCGGTGGATTGCCTCAGCGTCAGCTCTGATAGGGAGGACTAGGAAGGACTATGGCCGCCCTTTGCTCCCTATCCTGAGATACCGGTTCCTGAGAAAACTGTAGTTGGGTGCAAAAGGTAGCATTCAGGCGGCCTTCTGGATAAGTCATTATAAATCCGTACTCTGAACGAATCTCCCTGAAAGTGGCGATGGACTGTGACCTCCCAAACTGCACGACGGCTACTCAGCCGAAGACTGTCCGTGCTCCAGCGTCACTGTCAACACCATCTGCGCAGCCCATGTGAAGAAATCAAACAAGTGACCACGGAGTTGCTTGGCATCCTCTTAGCTGCAAAAGCTTGTTAGAAAAATAGGATCGTCTTTGAATATAGAGTTTTTTGCTTTGTTATACCGACCAACTCCTCAGTATCTCCTGGCTTTCATCCACACAACTAAGAACGTACTCCCTGGCCCTAGCCCATCATTGATCAAACTCTCAGCGGTTCATGCACTGCGTTGCTTTGTTAGCAATTTTCTGGACGATCTTTCATCAGCAATCAAACTGATTGGCAAAAGGGCCAAGGAAAGAATCAGTTTCCTTTGCTCGACGAGGCATCCCCGATGTGAGGCCTCGACATCAGTCCCACTGAAACATCGACATCGGTCCATCATGTCAGCTGACTTGGGCCGATCCCGCCTTCATGTCGCAGTCCATCTCTTCAGATCCATCATTTGCGCAGCTCTCCAGCCTCCGAAACCCACTGGTCGACTCCAAGTGGAGTCTAAGACATGCAGCCCCAAGCTGCTGTTCACCTACATGTTGATGTGTTGTCTATTCGACATTGTGAACCTTGGGGTGGCATAAAATAGGTATCCTCTGTATATATATATGATATATTTATATGTATATATATATATATGATATATGCACGTGTGTGTATATATATATATATGTGTGTGTGTTGTCAGTGTGAATCGCCGAAAAGCAAAGTGCTGAAACCAAACAAGAACTCGCTGTAAGACCTTGCCTGCTGGAACTCAAGACAGAAGCCAGCGTGAGGGTTGGCAGCACATGCAGCCTGGTGTTGGGGAAATCTAAGCTGACTGAGTGTCCTCCCCAAAGCCATTCAAATTGTGAGACTTATCATGACTATGGGTCAAGCACGAGAGAGAGAGAGAGAGTGAGTGAGTGAGTGAGTGAGTGAGTGAGTGCCACCCAAGCCCATTGAATACAGCAAACCGGATTCCAACATGAGGTCCTCAGCTTGAACTCCTCAGCTTGCTGAATTTGTACAAGCCCTGACGACGAAATCTCTGAGTAAGCAAGGCAGGTCTGACGTTAAAGCTCGCATTGCGTCATCGCTTCCGCAGCAAACCCTGACAGGCAGGACCGCAGGTAGCACACATCTCACCCCAGACAAGTCGCAAGAACGTTGATTGTTCGGTGTGTTCCATTGTGTTCCTGTCATATCGAAAACGGCTGGACTGCAAAGTCTCACATTTGGTGTATTTGCATTTGGTGTATTTGGTTGTGGCTCTTGCATACCTACTGTGGCAACATTGCAGCATGTTGTATTGTTGCCTGCGCACTTACTATGACTGTGACGACACCTCACATGATGTGGGTTTTCTGCCCTTCAGCTACAAATACTTGAGAAGGAAGCTGCATTTGACAAAGCTCTTGAATACATACACATGGCACAACCTCCAAAATGGCAGCCACCTGACGGGTGGGGGGACTGGCCGGTGGAAGGCCCTTTCAGGTGTGTCTGAGTCACCCCCGGTGGCACCGGTCAGATCTGAAGACTCCTGAAGAACCTGCGCATTGATCTTTGTCAATGAATGTCAATTTGACAGAGCTCTTTTTGAACCTTGATCAACCCAGAGAAGCGACAGTAGTGAGGTCATGTGAGGTCTGCAGTCCTGCAATGCTACCAGGTGCTCAGCGGCCCCAATAGGTGTGACGGCTCTTCTTTTGGACACTGGCCCAAACAGGCCCCTCCGGCCCCTCCCTTTTGCACTCACGTTTCTACGGTCTTGGAACAGGCCCTTCCCTCCCTCCCTCCCATGGCGCTTGTTCTTTCCCGATCGCCCAATCGCACTGATTCGGCGGAGCCGCCTGAATTCCTGCGCCGCCGTTTTGACATGCCCCGTAAGTACCACATAGAAACCGGTAAAGCACCATCATATGTGTCTGGGTGACCAGTGAGAATGATCCAACCACTTCAATCCATTCCAATTTACCCCCAAATGAGGAGGTTTCTTTGTCAAGGCGATCCTTTGCAAGCCAGGAAACCTGTTCGCCTCTTCCATGGAACTTGAGTCAGGGTCAAAGGTGCGTTGAATTGCTTGAGTATATCCCATGACCTGTAACAGCGGATGATGATGGTTAGTAAAGGCCTTTCTTTAAAATAGTGGTGTATACTCCCCCACTTCATTGCTCAAATACATCAAGCGGCCGCTGCGTCTGTCGGACAGCGGCCGTCGCTGTCCGACGGCCGTCCTGGTGCATTGGGTCTACTGCGAGCCTTCCACCTTTCTCTTCTTCCAGAGACGAGCCATCTCCAAGATTTTGAGATTCTGCTGCCCTTTGTCGTCCTACACAAGCTGACAGAATGAATGCTGCAAAGGCCGCATTGAGGCCGGAAGAGCAGGGAAGCAACCTAAGGATATCATTGACTTGACAAGAAGCAATCACAAAGACTATATAGTAGGCTGTTGCGTAGGTCCTCTGGGAAGACATACTCCATGTAATCCTGAACAAATGCCATCTGCAAGTGATTCCAGCTCAACAAACAAAGAGTGGTCTCAGCCACGCACAAAAAGCACAAACATCCCTAATTACTCCCCACCTTAAGTAAACGTGATCTACATTGATTACACCCTGCAGCAGTTTTAAAAAAGAGAACATGCTACGGTGTACTCCCACACTTCCGCGGTTCCCACGTGTTTTTGGGGTTCTGGTTCTCCATGGTTCTCCGTTTCGGTGGGTGGGAACAAGTGGCTGACTCCAAACAAAAAGCCGTTTGGGACAACAGAAGCCAGCCAAAAAAGCCCCGCCTCGTATGCATCTTGGCCATCCTCGCCCTCTCCGCCTGGAATGAGTCGCCTGGGAGCAAGCGAAAGAGGAAAGGAACCCAGTTCAGATGGCAAATGTCGAGTAAACCTTCCAATCAATCCACTCGTGACTCACATGAAACATCAAGAAACCGATTTCAACGATCGCAATCCTCGAAAGTGCCGTCTGATCTAAACTTTTCCCAGCCTTGGGCCTTGATCCCAGAAACTTAAGACTGCTTTTTCAGCTACAGACATGTGGATACATAATGCATGCCCAAAAGTTGCAAAAGCACATCAAAAATGCATATAACTTTTGTATAATTTCAACAATGCTCATCACAAAATGCAAAACTTGGTTTGATACTTATCGACATGCACACTGAAAGACTAAAGAACATATGATAAAAATATGCTGCATATACAGTATACTGGCAGATCTTTGGGCTTTGGTTTCGGCGATGTCGGTTCGGCTTGCGGCTTGGGGCCCTTGGGTCTTGGGAGGGATATTTGCATGGCCCATGCAGTGCAGCTGGCTACTACAATAGACTTTGGGAGTCTGTCAGTCAGTCTAATGTCCAGAGTCCAGTGACTGTCCAGTGAAGGAGTTAATTTAATGTCCAGTGACTGTCCAGTGACTGTCCAGTGAATGTGCAGAAACAAGCAGATTACCGGTAATTACCGGTACCTCTTCTTTTTCGCCATCGCCACGGCCACGAGGAGAGTTGAGTCACGCAGCACACACTACAAGCTAACAAAGCTTTGGGCGGCGTTGGCAATCCACAGCCGCCGCTGGCTACCCAAGCAGGTTTTGGGCACTTTGCCAGAGCTGCTGCTGGGTCATGTCACTATCAACATTATCCTGCTGACCTGCCACTGTCGAAATTTGATCCCGCACAAGCCTCTTGGCTTTCTCCAGCTCACTTGGCTGGAGTCGCAGAGCCAGGCTCAGAACCTGTTCCACGACAATCACCCTGCCGGCCTGCAGCACACCACTGGAAAAGGTGAGGGCTTTCCTCAAACCATCCAGTTGTCCCATCAATCCCTCTTCTGTCACGGCTATGTCAACCTTCGCTGTGGACAGCAAATTGAGGACAGTCTTTGCTTCCAATACCTCCTGGAATTTCATATTTCATACAATCAGGGAGCCCTAGTGACTAGATTGACTAGATTATCTTGTAATATAAACATTTGTATGACTCCTGTACGCATAAATGCTGCTGCTATACATGGTGCAACAGTAAAACATTATGATCTTGGTCCTGCCTTATGTAGTTACAGTTACTGATAAATACTAGTTGCTAGTAGTCACTAGTCACTAGTCAGTTACTAGTTACTAGGTTTACAATTCCGTTTTATTACAGCCATGGTTTAAAGTTTAGAGTTTAGAGATACCACGGCTCACGGCTCATGGCTCATGCCTTCAGTGAGAGAGTGAGACATATCAGCCGCAAAAAAACAAACAAATGAATGAACGCTGTATATACTATATACTTGGCAGCTGGTTGGCCAGCCCACTCCTGATGCAGCTGATCCACCAAAGCTTTCCTCGGCAGCGCTCAACACACAAACTCTAACTCTAAGACACTGAGTCAGCTGAGTCTAAGTCTTGATTCTGAGTCCTAGGTCCTAGGTCCTAGGCTGCTAGTCAACTAGTTGCTACCGGCTGA